TTGCTGAGACATGGGAGCGGTGTCAGAAGGATTCGCATGATGTCAAAGTAAGACACTTTTCTTGAGTCTTCCGGATTCAAGTAATTTGTCTGATTCAGGAACTCGTACCTGAATTGTATTATCTGCCGGAAATGATGCGAAATGACAATGGTTTTGAGCTGGGAACGAGATCTGATGGGTCGAAGGTTAGTTGCAATAGACCTATTGTCTCAACTAACAGTTGATCTCTTTCAATTTAGATTGGAGATGTCGTTTTACCCAAATGGGCATCTTCTCCCGAAGAATTTGTTTTGTTACATCGACAAGCGCTAGAGAGTGATCTTGTCAGTTGTCAACTGAATCAATGGATTGACCTCATTTTTGGCTACAAACAAAAGGGTCCAGAGGCGGTAAGTCGTTTCCTTTATTTTGGTTACTGTAGCCTACTGTAATCCTATAGGTTCGAGCCACCAATGTCTTCTACTACCTCACTTATGAAGGAGCCGTCTGCCTGAAATCTATTGAAAATGCTGCGCAATTAGAAGCCGTACAACAGCAAATTCAATCGTTTGGACAAACTCCAGTGCAATTGCTGGCCGAAGCGCATCCACCAAGACATTCGGTAATGACTATGGTAAGTTTGCGTTGGTTAGGCTTATCTAGGAGGCGAACAAAGGGAGTTGTACGCAAGTGCAGAAAAGGAATTCCATGAAGAAAATTAAGAAAGGAAAAAACAGCACGAAATTATTACATTATACTGTTGTCGTATCAATTGATAGCCTGAGTAAAATCACGGTACGGATACTGTAGCGAGTATGCTTCATTCGTTGAAGTCGCATTGCACGATTTCCTGCGACACGTTACGGATACTGTAGCATTAGTGCTTTCACTACTTTTTCTTATAACTCTTTAGAAGGTCACTTACTTCCCTGTAGGCTCATGGTAAGGACACTGTAGAGACACTGTAGCAGTAATGCTGTAGTACTCGCAGCTCACACAGCATTTATTCTTCATGAGCTTACTATAAGGATACTGTAGCACTACTGTCTCAGTGTTCTTTGCGCGGCTTTTTGCTAGCATGACTATTCTCTACGAGGCTACGATGACAGTTTAGCGGTAGTCCTTCACCTCATAGCTGAAACTAATATGATACAAAAAGTAGGGAACGACTCTTATTTACCTCTTATCACGTTGTAGACCTTCAGCATTTACGGTAAGCATACTGTAGCGAGGATGTATGTCAAGAGGCGTTATTTTTATTGTCAGCTAGGCAGCAAATAGCACATATTTAGTGTTTTATGACGTTCTG